CACATAGTTTTAAGGCATGCTCAGGATCCTTAAATCATGCCAGTGACAGCTCGAATTTATCAAGCCCAGCTTGACTAGAGTTGCCACATATTGACCTTTCAGTAATGCACTGTGTACTGCTGTATGAACTGGTACGGAGAAAATAACATCAAATTACCAGTAGGAGTAATTTCTTTTTTCTCAACCTGTATTCATTAAAGGTATATCATAACCAGTTTATGGTAAATGGACAAATGGCTTATTAATTGGTTTATTAAATTGGTTTGTTACTTTCACTATGTTAAAAAGATACCTTACTAATACCAAAAATTCAATTAAAACAAATTCTAAAATCTTCTCAAAGCATGGATGCTAAGCTTTAGGAGCAATGTCTTTTCATTGCATCTGTTTCTCCTTACCATAATTTTCATCAATTTCACTGATTTATCTTAGTGTCATAAATATTCCAGGGCACTTTTGCAGTATTGGCTGTAATTCCCAAGCCCGTTTAACTCTTTATGCACCATGTTAAGAAAGAAATATGTCTGTTAATATAGCATTATTGATCTCAAAGCGTCTCATTTTTCACAGACTTATTAATTCCTCTACTGAGGGTAGGTGGAGACAATGTTTTCAGCCCATTAGTCTATTTGTAAACAAAGTATTTGAATATCTATTGGAAGAATTTCAATAAAACTTGGTAAAGAATCCATTGAACATTGGGAGACAGGATAGAATGATTTTTTCTTAGAATGTTGTGGATTGTTTAATTTAGAATTAATTTAGGGGGATGGGTCTGGGTGGGATGCTCCGAGGGCCAGTATGGACTTGTTGGGCTGAAGGGCCTGTTTCCACACGGTAGGGATTCTATGATTCTATGATAGAATGTTGTTAGTTATTTTTAGAATGTTGTATATTGTCTCAGCTTCTGTGGTGGAACTTGTTACAATGTTAAATTATGAACAGACTTTTCAGAGCAGCTTATTGATGCAGACTGGGATAAAGCCTCCTCATTGAAATACAGGTTCTTAATTTTTAAAAAGGGCTTCTTTTCAACCTTGATTGTGACACTGGGCAGGGAAAAGTCTCAAGTGGCAGATGCATCGCTGTAATAACATTGTGCTAAAACAGTGTGTAAAGGTATGCACTAAGCGTATTTTTGATTCTCTTTGAAGTACGATTGCTGTTGTAACAAATTCAATCTGAACTTAGCATGCTCCAAAAAGCAGTAACATAATGATCAGATGGGCTACGCAGAGGCCAGGGAACCATGGAGAATTCCTCTGCTTTTCATTGGATAACGTCATAGAACTTCTTGCATTCCTCCTGAGAGGGCAGACAGGAGCAGGTTTAATATACTGTCCACAAGACAACACTTCTGGCAATGAAGCATTTTCTCAGTATTGCACAAGAATGTTAACCTGGCTTATATTCACAAACATTAGGCTAAAGTGGAATACGTTGGATGCTGGAGATCTAAAATAAAAGCAAAAGGCTGGATTTTCCAGTGAATGACAATCTTAAACAGACCCTGCCTGAGAATAGAATAAAATGTCACATGTACTTGAATGAGTGCAGTGAAAAGTTTGTAATGTCGCTGCTTTGGCACCATCTTTGGTACTGGGTACCTAGGTATGGATGCTTTAAGTGTTTATTACAGAATTGAAAGAGTTAAAAAAGAAGTTTAGCATAGGAATACAATGGTTCAAAAAGTACTCAACTCACGCAAAATCCGGAATAAGAATAAAAGCATCTCAAATTATAGTCCTTTTCACTGAGTCTGGGCGCGCTGGGCTTCAAAACATGAGGCCACGCTGCTTCCATGTGCTGGCCTCCAGCCCAGACTCGCCTCCGGGACTCGCCTCCAGGACTCGTCTTCCAGGCCAGCCCAAGCTCGTACTGCATCCCTCTCCGGGCTCCAGCCCACGACTTGCCTCCAGGACCCGTCTCCCAGGTTGGCCTGGGCTCAGACTGCCTCCCTCTCTGGGCTCTGGCCCGCGACTCGCCTCCTGGACCCGTCTCCCAGGCTGGCCTGGGCTCAGACTGCCTCGCTGTCCAGGCTCCGGCCCACGAGTTACCTCTGGGACTTATCTCCCAGGCTCAAGCTGTCTCCCGTGCCAGGTTCTGGCCTGCGATTCGCCTCCGGAACCTGCCTCCCATGCAGCACGGTCTCCGACTCATCCCTTGCACCGGGCTAGACTCGGAGTCGCCCCCATTCTTCATTCCCTCCGAGTAAGTTTAAGAAGTTAAAAGTTGGGATGTGTGGGGGGTGGAAGAAAAACTACAGGAGAAAGAATAAAAAAAAGAAAGAGGAAAAGGAACTGGTGAAGCAGAGGAGCTCTGACTGGAGTGTCCTACTCTGCCGCCATCTTGGCACTTGCCATCTCGAGCATCTTGCCATGCTTTACCACAAAAGGAGGAGATTCCACTCCCTCAGAAATGTGGAGCCATAATACCATTCTAACAATCCTTTCGTAGCACAGAACTGTCAGAGGGCTGAAATGTTAAGGTCCTGACAACCACTTTCACAGCTGATGTCAAACTGTAAGTCCATAAAGTAAGTGTGATGTTAAGGTGCTGGGAGGGTAGCAGCTAAGTAGGATCGCAGTTAGGAAAGGTGCCAGCTGGGGAGGGTTAGGGTGCCAGGAACAGGATGCTAAACAAGTGGTGGGTACAGTGCCAGACTGGAAGGATGCCAGCTGGGTAGGGGCCACGTGCCTGGAAGGTAGGATGCTAGATGAGTAGGGAATAGTGTGCAAGGTGACAGGGTAAGTGATGCAGTGTTTAGTGTAGATTTTATTGGTTGGGAGATATCAGGTTAGGAGGGGAGGTGGGGTATTGTGTACGGGCCTTTGAGTCTGGCAGTGAAGGGTGAGGATGGAGTAGAGGAGAGTAGTTGGGTTAGGTCCAGGTTAAGACTAGATCAGGTTGATTCCTCTGGACCTGTGGACTGGGGGTAGTGGGGAAGGTGGTGGTCAGGCCAGGCCAGACCAGGCTCAAGGGGATTGGTCTGGTCATTTCAGGGTCTGGTCTGAGCCAGGCCAGATGGGGTAAGGGATGTTTGAGGGTCTCAGGGTAGGGTCAAATCAAGGTCTGGGAGTTTCATGGTGGGGGGAAAGTGTAGGTGGGGATGTATGAGGTAAATATGGGATCAGTTTAATTGTTACTTATTTTATTCATTTGTGGGAGGTCTGTGTGTGACTATGGCAGGCTGTTGCTTGACTAGTCTGTGAAACAGCTCTCCCAATTTTACCACTAGTCCCAGATATTTGTCAGGAGGATTTTGCAGAGTCGACAGGGCTGTATCTGCTGTTGTCTTTTTCACTGCGTAGGTCAATGCCAGGTGATCCATCCGGTTTTAATTCTTTGAGACTTTGTTGTGATTGGTCTAACTGAATGGCTTGCTAGGCCATTTCAGAGAGCAATTGAGAGTCAACCCCATCGCTGTGGGGCTGGAGTCACATGTAGACCACACAAGGTGAGGATGGTAGATGTCCTTCCCTGAAGGACATTAGTGAACCAGGTGGGTTTTCCAACAATTGACAATGGTTTCATGGTCATCAGTAGATTCTTAATTCCAAACATTTTTTTATTATTGAATTCAAATTCCACCACCTGCCATGGTAGGATTCGAACTCAGGTCCCCAGAAGATTCACTGAGTTTCTGGATTAATGGTCTAGCAATAATACCACTAGGCCATTGCCTCCCTACTATGTTGCTCAGGAGCTGCACTAGATATTTAGAAGTCAAATATCACCTGAGTAATTACTTCACTTACTTCCGTCGGAACCTTCTGAACTCTCCAATTTAAATGGAAACTTTGTGGGATCCAGGAAATTTCCGCTGGACAATTCCTTCAGAATCTGTCATGATGGGGATTCCAAGCACAACTCACATTTACACTGGAATAATGACTGCCTGGCCTTTGGAAAATCTGGAGTGAAAATTTCACCAGTTCCGAAAAAGTACCATATTTGACTTTGAAACTTTAGCTCTGTTTCTCTCTTAACAGCTGCTGCCAGATGTGCAGAATTTCTCCAGCAATTTTGTTCTTTTATATTACATTATATTCTTAAACATCTAGTACACAACTTGAATCCATAACCTTCTGACTCAGAAGTTAATAATGTACTAGTCCAAAATGTTCAACTTTGCTCACATGAATGAAAATGTTTAGCCTTTCAGAATACATGGCATCTCCATATCCTTGATGCTGATTAACAGAACAGTATTGCTTCACAACACTAGATTAAAATCTGTTTAACTGGAAATGAGAGTAAAAGGCATATTGTCATATTTTTTGAATTCTGTAACTAGGATCAGTCATTGTTTTCTGAATGTCAATGGGCTTTAGAAACAGCAGACTAATATACAAACAACCAAATAGAGTGGTTCAAAGTATTTGCATAATTTGGAATACATAACAAAAAGAAACTCTCTTACCCTTTGGAAATTCATCTTAGATGTTGCTCCTAATGCACAGACCTTCATGATTCTGTTGCATGAACAAGCTTCAATGCAAACTGAGTTACCCACTGACATAGTCAAGGTCTTAAATTGCTGCATTATGTTGTATAGTATTATTAGTGCATACCAATAGCACACTCATAACTTCAATAAATCATTGCCAATTTGCAACTATTGTAACTCCAGTGGCTTAATGGTTTGAATGCAGTTGGATTAATTTTCTGAACACAAAATTTACATACAATTTTGCACTGCTTGCTTAACTGTTCACTTTGTTTTTTTTTCATGAGTTTCAAGTTCAAATATAATTACATTGGGTACAAAAAGTAACTAAAAGGTTACAGATATGGTTTGACATGCATTGCATAGTTTAGATAATACCGTGCATGAATAGCACAGAAGTAAGTAGAAATAAGAATGATGGGAAAGGACACTTCAGAACTCACAAGGGAAATTTCAACCATTGTCACTTAGATTTAAATATTTAATGTGTGTCACTGCCTTTTTAGAATGAATCTGCAAGATAATGGCATTGACTTATTGTTTTTTTCAGGTTTGCACAGTTTCAGGATCCTGCTGGTTGGCTGGCGATCAATCCTGCAAATGGCACAGTTACAACCAAAGCAGCCCTGGATCGAGAATCTCCTTATGTCCATGACAGCCAATACACCTCCTTATTCCTTGCGATTGATAATGGTATGTAAAAAGAAAAATATCTTCCAAATCCTGTTTTCCTTGTAAACCACCAGTGTTGGAAATGCTTCAGTGCAAATTCCAGTGGTAATACAAAAACCTTTCGTGTACTTATGTTTTATATTACGATAGAGCGTATGACTGAGAAACTGTGCAAACTAGTGCAAAGCAGTCAGCACCAATATGTACCTTGTTGAACCACATTTCTTATTTTTTTTCCAAAAGACAATAGGGCTGAGAACACTGAATACAACAAAGACTGTTGTATCTGACAACATTCTGGCTTTTGCGATGAAGACATGTGCTCCAGAGCTAGCCATGTTCCCAGCCAAGCTGGTTCAGTACAGCTTCAACTTAGCATCAACCTGACATTTTAGAAAATTGCCTGGAGATATGCTGTCCACAAAAAGTCAGGTCAAATCTGGTTCAGCCAGTCAGTCTATTCCTAATCACATTAACAAAGTGATGAACTGTATCATCTGTAATGCTGTGAAGCAAGGCTCACTAATAACCACCATTGCTCATCAATAAGCTGGTGCTCAGTTTTGGGTCTGACAGAAGCACTCAGCTTTAGATCTCATTACAACCTTGCTCCAAACTTGGGCAAAAGAGCTGAGCTCAAAACTTAAGGTGAGAGTGACTTGACATCATTGTAGCATTTGTCTGAGTGTGGCAACAAGTAGAGTTAATACCTAGCACAAAGAAAGATGGTTGTGGCCAAAAGAGATAAATTACCTCAGTCTCAGGAGGTTACTAAAGGAGAGTGATTTCCCTTGACATCAAAGCCACATTTGATCAAGTGTGGTATCAAGGAACTCTGGTAAAACTGGAGTCAGTGGGAATCGTGGAAAACTCTCTGCTGATTTGAGTTACACCTTGCAGTCAGGAACATGGTTGTGACTGTTAGAGGTCAGTCCAGTTCTAGAACAGTGTCATAGGGCAGTGTCATAGACGCAAGCTGCTTCATTGATGGACTACCCTTTATCATTAGTTCAGAAGTGGGATGTTTGCTGATGATTGCACACTGTTCAGAAACATTTATGACTCCTCAGATACTGAAGGAGTCCTTTTCCAGATGCAACAAGATCTGGACAATATTTAGTTTTGGATTGACAAGTGGCAAGTAACATGTACCATACAAATGCCAGGTAATCACCAGCAAGAGAATCTAACTATCGCTGCTTAACATTCAATGCCACTACCATCCCTCACCATCAAAATCCTGGGGGTTACTACTGACCAAAAACTGACTTGGACAAGCCATGTAAATGCTGTGAGTACAAAAGCAGTTCAGAGGCTCATAATCCTGCAGCAAACTCCTGATTTCATAAAGCCTGTCCACTGTCCTCAAGGCACAAGTCAGGACTGTGATGGAATACTCCTTACTTGCCTGGATAAGTGCAGCTCTAACAACACTCAAGAATCTTGACACCATTCAGGACAAAGCAGCCTGCTTGATTGGCACCACATCCACAAACATTCACTTTCTCCACCACTGACGCTCAGTAGCAGAAGTGTGTACTATCTACAGTATGCACTGGAGAAATTTACCAAGGCTCCTGAGACAGCACATTAAAAATCCCCGTACAACACCATATAGGAGGACAAGGGCAGCCCAAACATGGCAACACCACCACCTGCAACTTCCCCTCCAAGCCACTTACCATCCTAACTTGGAAATAGATCCCTACTCCTTCACTGTCGCTGGGTAAAAATCCTGGAACTCTCTCCCTCATAGCATTGTGAGTTTGCCTACTTGATATGGACTACAGCAGCTCAAGAAGGCAGCTCACTGCCACCTTCTCATGGGCAACTAGGAATGGGCAATAAATGTTGGCCCAGCCAGTGACATCCACATCCTTTGAATAAATTAAAACAAAAAGTCTCTCGGAATGCTAGATATGGATTTCATCCTTGCAGTTCTTAAAGTTCTAAGTCTTTAAAGTTGTAAATGTCCAAGACTGATTCTCAGTCAACTGGAATACTCTGCTGTTGGGTCCACTGGAGTCTTGCTTTTGTTAGTTTGTGATATTAAGCATGATACAACTGCTGTTACCATGTGTATGATGCATCTAAATTGAATTACACTTCATATTGCATCTCATCATGTTTGTTTTCATTGTAATGCCAACGACTACCCGTATGTTGTTGAGATTGTTTACTGACACCATCTCCTGGAACTAAAGGCTTATTGGTTTACAGTGGTAGAGCAAAACCATCTGTAAGTCTGAAGAAGGAGAACCTCTTGCCTTAAACAAAATGTAGTTTAATGCATGATTTCAGTCAGGTACAAGTTACATTAGTGAGATACTAAGACCATGAGGAGACCTAGGATACAAGTTCTGTACTGTACTCCTTTTTTTCATCCATATCCTTATAGCATAATCAGATTGGGAGCATAACACAGTCTACAATATGAACCCTTTTAAAAACATTACCTTTACACAACACATATACTCTGTCTCACCCTGGGAAGTCTTCTCTCCCCTTCATCCCCTCTCTCCCTCTCACTCTGTCTGTCTCTCACTCTCTCTCCCTCTCACTCATGCTCTCTCTGTCCTAAGATTCCCCTGTACTGCTGCTCCAGCTCCTCAACCCAAGGTTCCCTCTTGATTAATGTAACTTGTACCTGACTGAAATCATGCATTAAACTACATTTTGTTTAAGGCAAGAGGTTCTCCTTCTTCAGACCACAGATACCACAGATAATCAGGCTCTTCCAAAGTCAGATATCTACAGATTATTTACAACACTAACGATTTACAAGTCTATGATATCGTAGGTCTACAGACGTTGCCTGGGTTCTATGGTTACTGTATGTTACTGTACAATATACACACATATAGCTGAGTGATTATCCTAAACGTAGATAGTTGAAGACAATGTCAAATTTTGTGAAGAAGTCTATGAACTTTTTTTCTTGGAGGTCAGCAGAGAGATGTTTAAGAACAAAGTTTGCAATACTGAATGGAAGCCAAGGGTTATTTTTGACTTCCAGGATGATCCTAAAATCATTGACAGTTTTGTCAGAAGAAAACAGGATCAGATTGGTGTGTGACTGGACCTCAGCACTGACAACTGGGCTACAAGTGGCTGTCTGCACTGTTGCTCAGTGTGGGGCAGGTTTGCTGTCACAGGCAATCCACAGCGCCCACTAGATCTGGTATGGTTGAGGAGAACCACTTGCTAGTCTAATGAGAAGAGGTTGTATCTTAAAATACTTGCAAATCAGCTTATCACATGTTAGCAATTAGGCACAAATTACACTGATTTGATTTAAAGGAAGTAGAGATGAGGTCTATACTGTGAGAATGGCTGTGGTGAGAAAGAATGATCTTTTAATGGGGACAGCATCTTCAAAGGTAGAGATGAAGGTATGCTCGAGCATGTCAGGCAGAAGATACAAAAGCTTAAACACATGTACCAACAGATTCAAGAATAGCTTCTCCCCCATGGTTATTAGACTTTCTGAATGGACCTCTCAAATTTTAAATTTAATGTTGACCTTGTTCTTTGTGCACCTCCTCTGTAGCCGTAACATTATATTCTTCGCTCTGTTCTATTACCTGAATGCGCTTTGTATGGTATGATCTGCCTGTACTGCACACAAAACAAAACTTTTCACTGTACCTAGGTGCATGTGATAGTAACAAATCAAATCAAAAAATCACTTGTTACAGAAATGTTGTGGGAACACAGATCCAATGCTAAGAATGAAAAATGTTGAGACCTCTGCTGCTATTGCTCTTTTGGACTCATTGGTACACCTGAGCTGATGGCTGACAAGGCCTTTGATCATTGTTGGATGGATAGACTGTCAGGAGATGCAGAGAGGCCGGGATTAGTTGAACCAGTGTCACAGTTCACAGGATCAGTGCTGAATGAGGTGGGTTAGAGGACAAGATTATGGCCCAATTGAAATGTTGTCTGCAATGTTGTCAAGAGAGTTAGAAGGGGCAATTAGTTTTGCTACTTTTAAGGAGGCATTGTAAGTGCCTGGACAGGCCCCAAACAAAATACCAATAAAGAGGCCAAGGAAAGCTGTATTTTTTTCTTTCAGTTTTTGCAGATGTGTGCATCACTGGCTGGTCAGCATTTCTTGCCCATCCCTAGTTGCCCTTGAGAATGTGGTGGTGAGCTTCCTTCTTGAACCACTGAAATCCTCCTGCTGTGGGTTAATCCACAATGCCATTAGGGAGGGAATTCCAGGTTTTTGACCCAGCATCAGTGAAGGAATGGCAATATATTTCCAAGTCAGAGTGCTGAATGACTTGGAGGGGATCTTGGAGGTGGTGGTGTTTGATGTCCTTGTCCTTCTAAATGGAAGTGGCTGTGCATTGGGAAGGTGCTGTCTGAGGATCTTTGCTTATGCTTATGCTTATGCTTATGCTTATTTAAGTGGTTTTAAGCCAGGGGTGGTTGTAGGATAGCAGGAAAGTGAGCATTTGGAGAGCAGAGTACTTGAAACGGGAGAATTGAAAGCAGACAATGATATTAGAAAGGATGAGGAAAAATAAGTTAAACAACATTGAGGAGTTGTTTAATGTCTATTGAAAACTCTTTTCTTTTAAGGAGGATACTCATTCTGAGTAATGTACAGTGAAAACATGAGGTTAGATGAAGTCGAAATGAAGAACTCTTGGAATAGGGAAAGGTCATTTATGTCCAACAAACTCGCTTCCTACTCATGGCTAATAGTTGTATCAACCTGCATTTTTCCTTTGAAAATGAACTGTAATTGCCTGTTTACTGTTCACAAATGAACATTGTTCATTTCAATAGATTTTTTTCCTAAATAACCTATTCCATAAACCTGTTTTTCTCTATACAAAATGTGTTCCTTAATTCTAATTTCTTACTAATAACTCACTCATATTTAACTTAGCCCACTGCATTTTTTGGCCTTTTCAGCAGTGTACAATATGACTGCATCAACTTACAATATAACATGTGTTATAAAGGTACAGCTCACATCACAGAAAGCTTTTATAATAGACTTATGG